TTGCTAAGCCACTTCACATCTTTGTTCCCCTCCCACTCTTAGTTCATCTTATCTATGTAGTTTGAAAGCTTTTAAGGACAAGGACTATGGGCTTGTATAGTGCCAATCATGGTGGGACTTCCCAGCACTAACATAACATAAATATTGATAGAGTCTATTAAAAAAGTAATTTCACTTAAAAACAAAAATCTGAATCCCAACTAGGGAAGAATTCACTGGAGCAAGTATTGCTTGGTGAATTTTAGAGTAAATGAATCAATATGCAGTTCATAGAAAAATCAACCACTCCACTCATCTGCATTCATACAAAAGATAAATCCTGTGCTGCCATCCTTGTAGAATTCCCAGATGATTTGTGCGTGAACCTAAATTTAGACTCATGCTAACTGTTCAGGAGATGTTGTTATCAACTAAAAACTGCAGAGAACCCGCTTCTCTCAATTCTCTACAGAGTTAGCTGATAATAATGATAAATTCCTGCTGATGCTATGTCTGACTGTGCGGCCCCTATATTCCATAATCTTTAAAAGAAAGCTATCTAATGGACAAATTCAACTAACATACTTACTGTATTTGTCTCACAGAAATATCCCAACTGAAATATATTTCTGCCTGAAACACCAGTAGTGATCATCAAGAAATTTTGGTTTATTAGGCAATTTTAGCATGCAGCACCACTAGGATAGCTTCTTTGAACGTAGACAAGGTGAGGCAGTAATTTCACCCTTTAATTTCTCAGGCTGCATTCTGCAGAGCACTGGGTAGTCCTGGAAAACCTGCTTATTTAGGGTAAGTAAATGTTTAAAAGGTTTTTCCAGGGTTGGGGTCTCAATTAATAACATTTTACATATATTGTGTTGGTATTAAGGTGCTGCAGCAGAGGACTACCTGCATTTTTACCACCTCCCTTTTTCCAAGGATGCTTCATTTCCAGCAGAAAACTGCTTATGCTGGTTTATGCTGAAAAATGTGAGTGTAAAAAAGGCATCTTATTTCACCTTAATTATATCTATTATACAACTCAGTCAAGTGACAGTTATTGGGGATAATATATGAGCCAGAAAGAATACCGGTTGACTTTCTGATCCCAAGTTGAGACCAGAAGCCTAGCAAGTTTTAGGGGGAAAAAAATATTCCTTTTTCACTTGTAAATCTTTATACAAATCTGCTCCAGAAGCCATTGAGAAATAATCAACTTGTAACCTCCTGAGGCCTTCTTTATACTGATAATTAGTTTAAAGAGTAGAACTCTAATTAACTCATCATACTGGCCCATCTCTTCCTGATTTGATTTAGCCTTGACCTTTGTAAATCCATAGTTTCATTGGTTTGCATTTGAAAATCAAGGGCCATATCACAAAAACACAGTGGAAACTTGTTTCTGAGAATAAAGGACACTAGGAAAAATCCATACCTTTCATTAGGATACCTTTCACCTAATACCTAAATTTGTTCATTTCTTGAAACACTGATATTCTCAAGTTTGTATTTGTTTCATTGGTTATCACATAAATGACCTGTTGGTCACAGATCAAATAATTCAATCAACAGAGTAAAAAAATCTGCCCTTGGGCTAAATCTTCTGCTAATAGATACTGGCTTAGATCCACTTATTTCGTGCAGATTTACACTAACTGAGAACCTGGTCTTGTGTGTATTAGGGCTTTGCAGCAGAACTACATGCTCAAGAGGGCCACAGCCTACCAAATGTGATATATATTAGAATGGATTCAGATCTTCTTATTTCAAAATCATTTGCATTTACATCAGCTGAAAGTTAGTTCATACATTCTTAATGACACAATTATGGCAGATGGCAAGAGGCCACCTTTAGCTATTTATCAGGTTGCCTGCTGTGACTCTATCACTACCATTCAGAGGGCTTAAGGGTTAGCTTTGCTGGGCCACAGATTTAAGTCTGCTGCAGTGGGCAAGTATTCAGGACAAGGAAGACTCAGTCCACTTTGGTAGGGCCTTGTCAATCACTTTTCGATAAACCTGTATTGCTGCCAATGCACAAAGAAATGCACCAAGTACAATGGAAGCCCAGGAAGAATTCAAAACCACGTACAGTTATCACCATTTTATCCATGTTTTATGGCAACTCGGCCACATTTCCAATAATTACACTAACAAAAGAAGCACAGGTCTATAACATTCTTAGCAGGCTACTTTTCTGCTCCTCCCTTCAGAATATGTGACTGGTTTAGGATGACATGTTAACAGTAACGTAGAGCATCAAGTATAACTTTATTTTAATGGCACATTTAACTAATTAAATGAGAGCAGAACTCTTGTGGAAATACATATGAAATCCACCCAGGTAGCAGATGAATTCATGATGGTCACTGCAATCAGCAATACCAAATTAATTCATGGCCATGTGGTCCTTGACATGAAATGTAACTAAGGACTGGTACAGTTTTGTTAAGGGTCTCCAATGAATGAAGACAAATGCACCTAAAATATGCATTTAAGTTGGTTTCTCAGCTGATATTTTAAACTGACTGGCTGTTTAGCTTAAGAGTTCAGACATCTCATTTCTTCTCATAGCACCTCTTCTCAGGCATTCCCTATATAACCACTGGCCTTTGCATGCATTTTTGACTGCTATCTTCATGTTTATTTTAAAACTGGATTAATGAGGTGCTTGTTGATGTATTATCGAAGCAGGATGCTGTGTTCAGTATATCAGCTTGCATTGAATCTGATGTGTACTATTCCTTCAAATTCTTCTACTGTCACAGGCATCATATATCTTATTTTTTTCTAAATATTGATTTTAAATTTCTTTTCTTGACTCATTACAATAGAATCTTAAGACTGCAAACTTAGTTTTCGCATAGAAATGGGAAAATGAAACACAGCAGAAAATGAATCGTAGTTGGAGTTTCATTGTGTGGGATGTTACCAAAACTTGCTTGAAGCAAACATCTGTTATACACAACCAAGGGTACTTGGAAGGAAAGTAACCACTTGCATGAAGAAATGCTATCCTCAGAAAAAGGTTTATTGCAGTAACATAATGATGGGTGGACAAGTAGGGCATGCACCCTGGCCATTGCCAAAGAGTAGAAGGGGGCACCAGAATGGAGCTGAAGGGGGTACCTCACTCTAATGTCCCCTGTTCCTTTCCCCCACCCACACCCTGCACCTTCCCTACAGCTTCTCTGACTCCAGCTCCAGTTCCAGTAGCAGGGAGGGCAGAGCACCAGTGGTGGTGTGGGACCAGTGTCTGGAGGCTCACTGAGGAGATATCACCTCCTCATTTTTAACTTGGTGTTTAAATGTTCATTTAATATATGAAACTTGGTGTTTAAATGTCCATTTAATATATGCATCAGCAGCAAAAAAATGAAGGGCCATCCTTCCTCCAGCCACTAGTTCAGCACTGCATACCACCACTGCCTGGGGTGCAGTACTGGCTAGTTATTCCTGTGTTTATGGACCTGGAATACCCTGTGCAGGCAATTTTCTTTACTGGTTTTTCGGTTCTGTTTTCTTTTTTTCTCTTTCTTTATTTTTCCACTAGGCAAAAATATTGGCTTGTCATGATTACTCCAGTAATTTATCTGAGTGATGCTCTGAATCTTGGAATTGGAACCCTGTTATTGGTTTATGCCACTCTGGGCCTGAATGATCTGCTTATGACCTGCATACACTTCTTCTGTGCCTAACCAAATGGTGCAGGGAATGTGTATAATATGTAGTATGGGGGGAAGATCATTTAGAAAGGTCTGCATGCATGAGGCATGAGGCATGCATTCCAGCTTTTGAGAGTAGTTTGCAGGAATGTCACAAACACAGCATCACTCCCACCCGAAATGTTATTCCTCTTCATTTGTCTTCTTCAGCAAAGTCTCTAATGAGCTGAAGTATCTTCTTACCTATTTGCCAATCCCATGGGACTTTCAGCAGCTCCTTGTGTTCCATTATTGCACTGGAAAACAAAAGAAGGAAAAGTTGCATGGCAAGGAACAAAAGGTAAATTACTTTCACTCATTCAGTTTGAATGCTGGACACAACAACATAGATAGATCCACAGACTCCACAAATCTACACAGACCACATGCCATCAGACCTACTTAATCCACCCTGACTTTTTCCGTGTGTGTTTCTGAAAGATCTTCAGGGTGATCATCAGATTTAATGGCATGCAATTTGCATTATTTTATCTCCAAGCTTCTGACCATCTACCAGTCTGTCTTCTGACTTAATAGTCTTAAAGCCCTTAAACTTCAATGAGTAATAATGTATCTGTTTGAGATGTACAAATCTTCAAAGCTCCTCACTGTATGGAATTGATACAATGCTAAGCAAATCAAAGACAAAAGGGGGAAAATTTCATAGGCTGATTTTAGAGACAACCAACCAGCCAACACCATGGTTTTTTACATAAAACAGGGCAATAATCACAGCAAAAATATTAATAAATAAAGCCCAGATACAGTAGATTAGGGTAGTCCAGTTTAGGGTTCTGTTTCAGTATCTGGTGAATCTTAACATACCCATTAATATCGCATTATTAATGCCAGAAAACTCCAGAGGTGGAACACAGGTATCAAGACAGATCCTCATGCTTTCAGGATAGTGTCTTGGGGATGTGGGCTCTTTGTTGCTCCTCATTCAGCTGATCACCTGTTCCAATCTGGGACTTTGGGGATGAAATCCCACAGGACTTTTAAAGTAAAGACCTACCTTTAATGTGCTTTATAGAGAGTCCAATGAACTCACTCCCCAAATGCCACTCCCCAAATGCCAAACACAGAGCTAAATGGAGGCATGGCGATTGAAATAAAGTTTTAATGACAAAATATTTTGTGCTCTTTTTGTTTTTAGCATTTGTGCACACATATATTTAAAAAAAATACAGACAAGCCAAATTCCCCTTCTTTTAAAGCATCATTGTAAAGGTGCCAGTAAGGAGAAGGCTGTGGTTCTGCAAAGTAATTTGGGAGGGTGTTTGATACATAGAGGGAAGTATGGAATAAGGCAAGATAACCTGAAAGATCAGAGAGGTAGCTCACTGGCAAGAAATGGAGGGATGGGCATGATATATATCAACTACATGGCAGAGGCAAGGAGCAAGCACCCTGATGGGAGTGTTGCTGTGTAGGCTGCAGTAGATTCCCATGTACTACTCTTCATTGTCTTTTTCTGGTCTGGAAACAAAGTTCTTAAATTTAATTTTATTTAAAATTTTGTTCACCAAAATATTCTCATAGAATGCAGCAGCTTGTTTTCAAAAGACTCCCAGGGGAATTGCAGGTAAACAGACACGTCTCATGCATGCAAAGGCACGTACAATTCAGCTCTTTCGCAGACAAAATAATCTCATCATTTTATACATTGTATTAGATTCTCCATACCTCAACAGAAAGCAAATTAGAATTTCCTCTTCCTCCCCAGGATACAACTCTGTAGACAAGATTTAGCTAGAAACCAATGAGATCCTGCAGTCTTACTATCAGAATGAGTCCCTGAGACATTAGGTTTTGTAATAGATGCTTTATTTTTTAATCCCTGTATTACCACAGTTTATATTTCTTCCAGACGCTGTCCATACCAGCATCCATTTAATTCCTATTCCCATCCTAGCACTGTCACATCATGGACAGCAAAAAACATTTGTGATTAGGGGCTGCTGTTGCTGTGCTGGGAATAGTCTGACTTCTGATCTAGATTCTTCCCCAGTGTCTTTCATCAGATTTAGATCCTGATTGCACTGAAATGGGCAACAATCAATCATCTACAGTTTTTTCAGAGAAAGCTTCTACAAATGTAAAGAAGTGAACTGTATTTCTCTTTGAAACAAATGCAGCTCTGGGTTGGGTTAGACCTCAATGAACTTTGTGCCCATAATAGCTGCCTTTCATGAGGAATAAAGGTAAGAAACAATTATGTTCCTTTATATAACCAGAGAGCCAAAACATGAGCAGCCTCCCTCAAACCACAAGCACATGTCATGAACCCAAACCAAAGAACATGCGTGGCACAGATGGTAGAGGGGGTTTGCTGGTAAAATGTGTATATCCAAGAAAGAAAAGCATAAAAAGGAAGGAACTATATAGCCATAGAAACACTGGTAGCATGGCCCTTTTTAGCAGCTACTTCACCATTGCTGTGTGGTATACCAGGGAAGCGCATCACTATGGTAAAGTAGCTGATTGTCACATGTAGATGCTCATGGATGCTATGTGTGTTATGCATAAATATGCTCTTTGACTCTGCTTGCATCAAAAAGGGGTAATGGTATTGTAATAGAATATATTAGCACTAGATTTCTATATGGCAGTTTACATATTGTCATGTATTTATATGCATTAAGAAAGACAAAGTCTTTGCTTTCAATGTCTTGCGTGTCTGCCAACCACAGATACTTCAGATATAAAAATTGGGTTCACATGGAAATAAGATATTTTAGGAACTTTCATTTTACAAACTTAAAAAAAAAAAGACTAGTTGGGTGTGTCTACATGAGCCGTTTACCGCAGCTGACTAATTAGATCTGCAGTAAAACATCACCGTCTACATGTGCAGTGCTGTTAGGGTGGAGTAAACTAATAAATTCCACCATAGGATAATACTGCCAGACACAAGTACTATCCTACGGTGCAGCTTACTCTACCACACCACGTGTGTAGACACTGACAGGTCTGGCTGGGGCATGAGGGTGCTTCAGTGCAGGGGCTGCTTGCCAGCTCACCCCACACTGAAGCACTCTTGTGCTCCAGCCATCCCCTCTGCTGCACACCGAGGTGGGTCAGAGCAGCCTCAGGCCGGCAGGCTGATCCCTGCAGTTCCCTGCAAGCTGGGGCTGCTCTGCCCTGGCTCAGCGTGCTGCCGTCTTGGGCATATGTGTACACACTGTGCCCAGGAGCAATAAACTCAGGTGTGAACTGTGCCAGAGTTTATTCAGCTGCATTCATTTCATGTGTAGACGTTCCTCTTTGTAGGTATAATTTAAAGCGCTGTGGGCCAAACTTTTTGCAGGTATACCAGAAGTTAGTCCCAAAACCATCCTGAGTGTGACTTCGATCCCATTCCCTTGCCTGATTTCTGCTCTGTTTTCCACTCCCTACCCTCTGCTCCCTGCCCAATCTGCTGCTCTGCTTTCTTCTTCTTGACCCAGTCTCCCTGCCTGATTTGCTGCTCTGCTCCCTGCTCCATCTGCTACTGTGCTGGCTGTCCCCTCCCCAAACTGCCATGTGCCACACACAGAGGCCGCCCATGCCACTTGGGGGACAACCTGCAGGTTGGCCAACCCTGATTTAAAATGCATGTCAAAATAGTGGGTGAAAAAAAAAACTTGATTATTAAATAAATTGGGTTGGTGAAGCAGAACTTTGCAGGGACTTATTTTGATCATATTCTATTTTCAATTGGACAGATTAGTGATCTGGTTTTGATTAATAATCAAAAGCTCCTTTAGGTACCAGCCACTGCTGATAATCAGACCTGCATAAAATTTAGCAATATCATCATCTGAGGTTTTGTGACTGCATAATTCTTTATCAGCTCAATCTTTAAAAGCTGGATCCTACTTTCCTCCTACAAAGCCTGCATGTCTGGACTGAAAATACCCATTTGTGCCTGCACAAGGGTTTTATGGGTAAAATGGTTATGACCAAAACTCGGGGGCCAATCTTAGAGCATTTGGTTTTAGATGTATTATCACTGCAAAGTACCTGTTTTTGTGGGGGGGTTTCTGCATCGCTAAGTATCATAATTTTAGTTACAAGGAATAAACCAATTAATAAAACATGTTCTGGCAGGGTCAGTTTTTCCACCTTTTTATCATTCTGGATGACTTTTAAAAAACATAAACCATGATTAAAAATAGGTAGGGGCTCTCAATCCTAATTTAGCTTGAGAAGTGGAATCGCCATGTCTTGAAACAACAAATAGGTAGACACTCCTTTTCCAGCTCTCCATCTCTAAGGGCACTTTTAGGACACCAATGACACCTGTCAATCAAATGTAGAGGATTACTGACATTTAATGACATGACCTGACATACTAAAATTGATCAAGAGATATAAACACAGAGATTAAAGGGAGTCAACTCATAAAGAAATGGCACCTTTGAAGAAAGAGGCTCTGGTGTCAACAGGAAACAGGCTTTGAATTAGTTTTAACAGGCTCAGATTTCAAACCCACTCACTTACAGCTGAATTCCACTGAAAAAGGATCCAAAGAGTCCAATCATGCCCAAGAATTCCACTCGACTCAGGTTTCGGACAATGTACTCCTCACAAACATTGGAGATGCCATAAAGTGTTGCTCCACCTAGCACTAAGAGATCCCCTATCAGCTTATTTTCACCTAGGAATAAAAGGAGAGAAACACAGTAAATATCTACTGAAGGATACGTTGTTGCATGGTCTTTCCCACAGATTCACAACCTAGCTAAACTGTGTTAACCCACTTCTTTGTAAACAAGACGGATGCAATATACTGTACATGATTCACAACTTGCATTTAAAATTTAAAGCAGTCTCACAGAGACTGAGGGAGAGATTTAGTTGTTTTTGGAGGAGAGAATCTGGAAGAGAATGTGAATTGTAAAGTCTAGAAACACACTGGGCACATCTACGCATGCAATTAATGCAAAGCAATAAACTCTACTGCATATTGCCCCAGAGTTTATTGCTCCCGGGTGCCATGTTTACATGTGTGCCTGGGACCACAGCACATTGAACTGGGGTGGAGCAGTCACAGCTAGCAGGGGACCTGGGGGGTCAGCCCGCCAGCCTGTGGCTGCTCCAACCCAGCTCAACATGCTGTAGAGGGCTGCTCTTACACGGAAGCACCCTCGTGCCCCAGCCAGACTTGTCAGCGTCTACACGTGGTGCTCTGCACTAAAGAACTCCGCTGTAGGATAGCACTTGTATTTACAAGCACTAACCTATGGCAGAGTTAATTAGTTTACCGTGGCCTAATGAGGCCGCACCTGTAGATGCTGAAACTGTACTGAGGTGCTAAACGTCTTATGTAGATGCACCCACTAAATAGCGTATTTCAGTGATCATTTTTTTTTATTTGGTGTGGCATAGAGTGTTAATGAGGATGATTTTAGGCTGTATATAACCACAGTAGTGCTGCCTAATACACTAGATGCAAAGGGTCAGCCTATTGTGCCTTATCACCAGGGAACTGGTTTTCTCTGATAACACCCCTCCTCAATTTTCAGATTAAAAAAACTAACGCAACATCCACATTTTTCCGTGATCAAAATGGAACACCACTAATATATATATTAGCTAATTAGTGGAACACCATTAATTATATATATTATACATATACATATACATATATATGTATGTATATATGTTCCAGATTCTCTCCTCCAAAAACAACTAAACTGGTATGTATGTATGTATGTATGTATATTAGTGGTGTTTCATTTTGATCATGGAAAAAATGTGGATTTTGGGTTACTTTTTTAAATTTGAAAATTGGGGATTTTTTTTTATTAGAGAAAACCACTATCTTTGCTTATCACTGAATATACTGCCATTTTCAAAAACTGAACTCTCCTTAAACCTTCCAGGTTTATATTATTATTTTTGGAAAGAGAGCTGGCAGATAGGTTTATTCAAGTTCCAACCTGAAAATGCAAGGCCCCAATCTGGTAAAGGGCTATACTCATGACTAATTTTAATTATGTCCTAGTCACAACAGATTCAACAGAACTGCCAATAGAGTTTTTAGAGAAATTTCAACACAACCATATAGATTCACTCCTCCAAAAACAAATACATTTCTCCCTCAGTCTGTGAGGTTGCTTTCAATTTTGAATGCAAATTGTGAATTACAGTATATTTGCATCCATTTTGTTTACAAAGATGGGGAGTTTTGCTGGAATTTCATCTCAAAAGTTCCTATGATGCTGAAGTACCCAGGTTTGCATTTTGGGAATGAAATATCTTGATTGTTTGTTTTGAAATAACTTAAAAAATATTTTGTGTTTTAGATTAAAGCAAAACTGAAAAAGATCCACCCAAATACATTTTATTACGGAATTTTCTTTCATGGAGAATTCTGAAGTTTCCATTTTCCATTCTAAATTTGAAATATTAATATTTCTGTCCTTTGTACAACTCTACTGCCAGCATGTTTGAAATTAAGCAACTGCCTTTGCAGGTTTGACCTTTACTTTCATTTGGTCTTCTTTTTGCCAAGCACCACGGAAAAAAACCTTAGCTTAAGCCTCAGATAATAGAATATTAATATTTTCTCTTAACGATAGCACAGTTACAACTTCATGTTAAGTATGGGTGAGCTATATGAAAGGCTCTGAAATCCATGTGGGTTTATTGTAGTTCATGAGGGTCCAGGGAAGGCATTGTAATTCAACTTTGGCCTCAGCTGAACAAGTGGTTCAGCTTTCCTAAACACAAAGGCTAAGTACAGATGTTCAAAAAGCCCCTGGTGGAGGCACTCTAACTAATAGTGCTTTACTTAAAGTGCTGTAAGTTAGTGTGGGAGCAAACCCAACAGACATTTAGTGTTCGGTGCAAGGGCGCTTGGAGCCTGCCCACTCTGGCAAGCAGCTGGAGAGTGCTCCTGCACACCTCCCAGGAGCCTGCCAGAGTCGCCCCCTTCCCAAGCCCGAGGAGGGAGAGGATAGATGAGGGGAAGATGGAGCTCCTGTGCTGTATGCTTCCCCCCTCCCCCTATAATTCACTGAAAAATTTTGCCTATACCTGAGGTCCAGTTATCTCTCAGTTGATCTCAGTCACTTAGCATTTATCTCAGCTAGGACATGACACTCCATGCTCCTTTGCAAAGCAATACTGAAGAGTTATTATTGACCTCAGAACTTGGTTTTAGAGAATGGCTTGTCAAAGACATTTGCATGTGCATCAAAATCTGGGCTCTTGAGCCAAGAAGATTTCTTGTCAGGCTGTTGTCACAATGACTGTCATTCAAGGTGATATACTGAAGTCATTTAACCACTACTGTACCCATATATTATGAATTTGAACCCTAACCTTATATGGTTTCGAAGAATGGGCTTCATGCATATCTCATATCTTACAGAGGCCTCCTTCGGGAAATTTGGCTCTGAGACCAAACGTTTTGCTTTAAAGCTGCTATTTGTATATTTTAAGTCTACTTGCATACTTCGGTTTACATTTGAAGCCCTGTTGAGGAAAACTGGACTGATTATATAGATGGAAGATGAAGATAACGAGAAGGATGTAATTATGTCTCTTGACTAATGCTAATTAAAAGCTTATTTGGTCAAGGGGTTTCTCATATGCGACTCTTCTGCCCCTAAACTGCTCATAATACATTCATATGTATATAAAATTACTTTGGTGCAGCCTTGAAGACTGGAGTAGTGAAGTGGAATGTAGGGGATGTTGGAGATGTACACAGAGTTGTAATATGCCAACATCCAGCTGGGGCTGATCCAGTCCCAGTATTATTGTGGGTTGTGGGTGGCCAGGGCTAGGATCACTCAAGGAACTGAGGTGCCAATGAGTCGGGAAGAACAAGCAGATTCCAGGGACAAACTGAGTCAGGAAGCCAGGATGTCAATCCAGGAACAGAGTTTAGGAACAGACTCAATTAGGAAGCTGGGGGATATGGTGACTATGTGGGCGGTTTTTAGTTGATCAAGCAGCTCTGGGGTAAGAGGTAAGTGATGGTGTTTGCAGATGGTGACCTGGTTCAGGGCCTGATAGTCTATACAGAGTTGGAAGCTCCCATTCTTCTTATAGAATAGGATAGGGGCTTCCACAGGTGAGGTGCACTTTCTTATGAATTCTTACGCCAGGTTTTCCTGCAGATATTTGCAGAGGACAGCAATTTGAGGATCTGGCATAGCATAGATACATCCTACTGGGATCTTTGCTCTCAGCTGTAGGTTGATGGAGCAGTCATAATCCTGGTGTGTGCTGGGGGTGGAATTCTGCATTCTTCTTCTCAAATATATTGATGTATTTCTGCTATTTGTGAGGCACCAGCAATGCTGCTGACAGTAGCTGGGATCAAAGCAAACCTCAAAGGCTTTCCATCTGGCAAGGGGGGCATGACAGAATCAAGGGGTAATGCAGGGAACAGATTGCCCTGAAGCATATCATCTCAGGATGTCTGAGGATGTTCATCTCCAGAGCAGTGTTCTCCCACTCCAAGGTACCAGATGCCAGAGGTAAGGCATCTCCAGTTTTGATGGTCTCTGGCTTGGTTTGTTGCCTTAATGGAATTCCTATGGCCTGTGTGAAGGTCTCATCAATAACACTGTCCACTGCCCCAGAGTCCCGGGTTAGAACCAGAAGCAGGCTGATCTGACTCAGGACCTGGAGGTGGGTGTTAACTGAAGGTTTTGAGCATTGGGCTTGCTGTGGACTTCTGTGGTTGAGTAGGTGAAGGGAGTATTTGATGACCCCAAGATGGGCCCCCCTTACTGGGCCTGGAGTAACTCATTTCCCTACTCAACTTTCTAGGAGCATTTGGCAAATCTGTGTCCCTGGGCCTCACAATGGAGAGACACAGATCCTGTTGGTGCCATTGCTCCCTTTCCTCTGGTGTAAGGTGACAGAACCCCCCAGTCTGCATAGGCTTGGGAGCGACTGCACCAAGATGTGGGCCAGGAGGGGGTAAGGAGTACCTCTTCCTCCCTCCGCTCTTACAGTCATTGATAAATGCCCATTGCCAGGTCCATGAAGGTGTCAAGCCCTGAGGTCAGTTCCACCTGTGTAAGTTTGTCCTTTACCTCTTACCTCAGACTCCACCAAAATTGGTAAAACTGGGCTGTTCTGTTCCAGGGGGTGTCCACCATAATTAGAGGCAGAAGACGGAAGCATAGGTGATGACAGTACCCTTGCCTTGGTGACAATATGGCCTCTGCTGTCTGGATTGAGTGGAGGACATTGAACATACTGAGGAATTCATGGAGAAATGTCTCCTGGTCCTGAAAGACAGGGCTATCCTGCTCCACTAGTGGTGCAGGCCAATTGAAGTTATCCCAGAAGGCTTGCCTTTTTGTGATCCCTGAAGCAGGTTTGAAGTTGGGATAACAATAAAAGGCAACAATGGGTAAGGAACGCCCCCCCCCCCAAGCACTGCCATACCTTTCAGGCAGTGGGAAGGGTGATTGGGGCTCTATGGAATGAGCCTGGAGCACAGTTACCTTGCTCTTTGCACTAGTGCCGGTATGCCATTCTTCTGGTATGCCATTTGGGACCAGAGGGATTCGTTCCCAGCCAGCAACTACACCCAAGCTTCTGATACTTGACAGGTGGAGGCAAAGTGATTCAGCTGGTTTTGCCCAACCTGTGGGTCTCCCTGAGGTGTGGCATCCAAGTTATGTGAGTCTGAGGGCACAAGCAGGGGATTGGTCTCCGTACAATACCCTCTTCACCAAATGGATGAATGGTGCTATGAGAATGCAAAGTATGGGAGTAACCTTGCAAGTGATTTACTCAATGTCCAAACCCTATATTAATATAGGTATAATTTATTTTTTAGTGGGGACTGATACTGTTAACTGGATAAATAATAATATCTACTAACATGATAAATAATAATATCATCATGGCAGAACTTGTTATAGTGATATCAGGTAAATCCTGTAAGTGCATAAGTTAACTCCTCTGGAATGTAAGCAAGTTTTACCTAGGAAAAAAGGCGCTTATTGAAAATGAATTAAACTCCACTAGGTTTTTGTTCATCCCTTTTGCTTGCTTGGTCCAGGAAAATATACAATAAACAGTGCCAGGCTCTTTATGGAACTGCTTCCTAAAGCCTTTTATTTTACAATCAATGTTTATTATTTGTGTATTTAGACTTTTAGTGCCTATCTTGACTCCTTAACATAAATGTTTCAGCTCATTTATTTTACTCCCTTAGGGGAAACATGTGACACAAAAATATATCCTTGCATCTTAATAAAGTCATTTTACAATTTTAAAGGTGCTGGAACACTTGTTATGAGAGGCAGTTGGCTGAGGTTCTTCTCCCTATGTACCAACAAGCACAGTCAGTCTTTTAGGGCCAGGTTTACATTTGAAGTAGGCAAGAATGCATGCATATAGAACATTCTGAATAAAACTACTCGATACCTATACGTGCTCTTTAGCAGAGCATATGGCAAATAGTGTCTTCTTCTTAAACACAACCTTCAGAGTCCCAGGCTGAAGAGTTACACTAGTAATTGATATATTATATCTAGCTTTTTCATTTTGCTTAACATGACGAGTGAAATCCTGTGAAGAAAGTAGATTGCTAGGGAGATGGAACACATAATGGATTTCATGCAAATCCAGTTTCAGTTTCAAAGTTTTTTCCAATTTCCTAACTCAACTGGCTTTGAATAACCTGAACAGACGTCTCTGTAGCTGCACATCTGTTAATGAATGTACAACAGACGGGTTACTTAACAGATCTACTGCTACTGAATTCCTTTTAAAGGAACTTGGAACTCCACTGGGCAGACTCCTTGTGTAAGCTGTGTACTTACAGATAGCTTTCTGGCCTCTGAACCAGAAATGTTCCCTTTAACTTGGTGCAGCAAGCTTCCAATGAACCACTTCCTAAAAAGCAGATGATTCAGTAGCCAGGGAGAAAGGATGCTTCCTTTGGAGCTTGAAATCATTTGATTTCAGTTGGGTCTGAATTTAAATTAGCTCAGCTTTGACTGGCTGATACATAGGACCAAACAGGCCTGCTTCTTTTTTGCTGGGACAGAGGTGCTTCTGGAGAGGGAGATGGTTTGGAAGTCTTTGGGACAGGGCAATATTGACTGGTTTAGTCTCTGTCAGATTGCCTTGATTTTGTTCAGCAGCATCAAGGCAAATGCTGTTTTTATAGCAGTTGATTTGTATTCCAAAAGCTGACTCAAGTATTGTAAATCCCAGTGTATTATGCTCAGCTCACAATTTGGTACTTTTAATTAAGACTGAAAACTGTATCTAATTGACAGTCTTTGCACAGAATTTATGCCCTTCCCATATCATTCTGGTTGGCATTAGGACTACCAATGTGATAGAAGATATTGGTTGATGAAATGTAACTTTGCTTATTCTGCCCATTAGTGTGCTGTAATAGTAACTAAACATACACTATTGGTACAATGCCACAGGGTGCCACAAGAACATTTTACATATTAGGAGGTTCTTGCCAGGTACAGTGCAGACAAATCCAAGTTTAAGCTTTACTTTGAGATGTGGTGAATCATACAGTATGCACAGTAATTTATCTAAGTATCTAACCAGTGACGGTGGGTATTTGCTTGAAGTGAGCAAAAGGGTAGTAAGCAAATGCAGCTAGTAAGGTAGGCATGGGGGCTGCTGATGCTTCTAGTAGTCCATTTCATCCACCTGAGGGGACTAACATTCATTAGCAAGGGCCATGTTCTTCCTTGAATGAATAAATTTTGGGCAGTGAATTTGGTTGGACACAGAAGAACACCACATTTTAAACTCCAGGTGGGTTCTTGGGACCTTTCCTTCTTTTTGGCCTGTTACTGCCCTCTCACACCACTTGATACAATGTTTTCCTTGAATGAGATGTTCATATCCACTCACCTGCTCCTTGCTGTCTCCCAACAAGGACATCTGCTCCTGCCATGCAGCCCATGCCCAGAATGCAGACCACAATTCCGATGAAATGCACTGCCTTATATCGTACCAGCAGGAAGAACCAGGACAGTAATATCACCACTGGGATGACAAAGCAATCTAGGAGCTGTCAAAGAGGAGAAATGAAGTCAACAAAACACTGTCACAAAAGTTACTTTAGAATGGAAGGAGTTACTCAAGACAAAAGGAGGAAAACAGAGGACTATTTATCGATGGCTATACTCGGTAGTAGATCCAGAAGTAGAGTGAGGGGTGTGTGCTTACACTCTCCTTTAGCTGTGCTGTGCATGTGTAATGAGCTGGGAGCTCATTGCTCAACGTAGGCTCCTGCTGCAGCTCTTCATATACAGCAAATTCCCTGCGCTCACCACCTGATTGATGCAAGAGCATCCACAGCTCACTCCAGAGGAGTCACCACAACCACGCCATCTACAAAGGCATGGCCTCCAGAATGGTTGCTTGGGAGGAGCCAACTGCAACTGGCATCGATGCTATGCCAAAGTCAAAGTGCTGAAGGAGTGGTATAAGAAGGCCATAACAACATGTTATAATGGTATAAGAAAAGGAACTTGCAGGGTGATTTCTGCCTACTATGAAGAGTTACTCCAGATTGCGGGGGCAGGGAGCATTGCTTGATAGAGCCCTGCTCTGTTGCTGAGTTTGGTCAGTAATGGTGAAAGTGGCAGGGTGTACCTAACAAGAATGCCCTGATGGTTGTGTTTCAAGGGCTCAGCCTCTTGTGCTTTGTACTGGCTCACAAGCCACTGAGCACTCTCTGCCAAGTCCTTTGGAAAGGTTCCCCTTTTCACTTTGCAGATGTTATGCAGGATGCAGGCCAAGATAACCATTTGGGGTAGGTAGTACTCTGTGCTGTCCAGGCACACCCCCAGTTCCCTCCACTGGAACTGGTCAGCACTGGAGGTGCTTTTCATGGTCATGTGGTAGATGCTCAGCCAGTAGTTGAACAGGTCCATCCTAGCATCCAAGTGCCCTGTGTAAGGCTTCGTGATTCAGGGGAAGAGTGGGTATGCTGGGTCCTCATATAGCTGAAAGAGGGAAACAGTTACCCTCTTCACTTTGATGTTAGTATCCCCATGGGCAAACTCCCCCCATGTCATTCCTAGAGTACCTAAAGACCCTGCAGTCATGCACCCTGCCTGCACAGCTGGTGGTCATAATATAAACCTGCCTTGGTGGTTCACAGTGTTGGAGAAGAAACCCTAGCAATTTATATACTCCATGCTTTGGTGGTCAGGGTACAGGATGGCAAGGTAGATGCCACTGGGGGGCCTGATGCTGTTTGAAAAGTCTATGCCATCTTCCCTGGTGTCCTGCATGACATTGTCTGTAGGTATACTGGTGCCAGTGGTGCAAAGTAGGTAGCACATGTCAAGGAGGCATCTTCCCAGGGTCTTGATCAAACTGTCTTGTGCTGTCATGCTATTGCTCAGCAGCTGGCAGATTGTCTGGAAGAAGAGAAATAGCATGCCCAGGTAGACCATGCCTGTTTTGAGCAGGAAAGGAGAGATAGCACCTTCTGCTCAGCCAGGGACTGCAAGGCAAGGAAATGGTAGGCATCCATTTGTGGTTCCCTGGGGTGACAGTGCCATTCCTATAACTGATGAGGCCTCTGGGAGCAAAACTGGTCTGCTCTCCAGCCTTGAAGCTGACGGGAAACTTCCAGCCATTTTGAAGTGTTTCAGATGGGAGGGGCCTATATGTCTTCAGCCTGATGCTGAAGTGCTCCAAATGTGAAGCGCTTCATATTGGTGTGGGATTTGAAGTGGTTCACAAAAACATCTGTCCACACCTGAGAAGTAGGATAGATTAGCTTGGGCAGAGTACTGCATTAACATGCCCATGTTGCTTTCAGCATCTCAGCGATACCTCAAATATCTCTGTATGGTAATATATTGAGATATGTGTATGTACTCATACAGTCTGACTTAAATGCCACTGACGTCAATAGCAAAATTCAAACTGAAGTCAGTAGCTCAAGATCTGACTCATTAACCAAAGTAGTGCAGGATCAACAGCTATATACCACAAAGGTATGCAATGTTACTTAATAATACTCCAGATTTTTTCCATTAATTAAGCTGATTTTATATCCATAATGAGAAGGCAGAATAAACAGCAATAGCTTAGTCTAACATAAAATGGCTATAAAAACAGACAGTGTGTGTGGCCAAGTAATTGTTCAGGTTTTGCTTTAATATTTATTTATCTGGGGCTAATCTCAACTCTGGCCCTTTTTTGGAATGCACCTGTTTGGGACAAGAGAAAAAAGGGATATGCATCCTGATTTCTGCAGACAGAATATGCTGTGAAACTGTAGATTGCCTGTTGCTTTTTGTCTTTCAGTTAGCTGTATTGCAAAAGAAAGGGAGCAAATTACGCTGATTATACTGAGCAGCCCTCTATTATGGACCCCTATTTTTCAATATCAAGGTTTGTCATTAAATAATAAATGCACTATGGTTGATTTACACAGCAGAACAGTTGTTTAGTCCAGTCATTAAAAAACAGCTTGTCCTAACAACACAATCCTTGTTTCCCTGACTTTAAAGCTTTTATGGTAATAAGGTACGTTTAGCTCATGTTTCATTTATGATATTTAACATCTTGTTAGTAAATTAGGGTCAGTCATCATACAGCCATTTGACTGCTAGTATATTTCCCATTTGGTATAATCTTTTGCTTTTTGTCTGCCTATTCTTGAAGTGTATCTATATAATCAAAATTAATCCAAAGGGAAAAGTTATACCCTTACATGAAAATGGACACAAGTATCGTTATTTTCATGATGTTCTAATTACACACAATCATTTGTAACAAAGAAGATGGTGATATCTCATAGGCACATATCTTGGTCTTTCTAATGTTTCTGCTTTTATCATGTATTTGCTTTATACTGTTATTTTAAAGGCATATATGATGGGAAAATAAACTGAAAATATTATTAAAAAGTCTGTCCATATAATTCTTTTAACTTAAATCAATGAGTCAAATCTGAAACCTATTGATCTGTTCTGATATGGCAATCTGATACCTTCTTATTTTAACATGCTGGGCAAAACTGCTTTAGTTGGTTGAAGACACCTATTGATTCTAATAGTTATCACATTGTCTTGGAGTTGACCTATATTGATGTTGATGACCTATATTGCTCACAGACAGTCCAGTGATAGCACTTTCTAAATAATTACTTTACTTATTTTAATCCTTTTGTGAATTAAAATATATATCTTCTTGCTGACAATACATACATTTCCTCTGATCTATACAAGTGCAATGAGAATGCATGTACAATGCAGGAATATACTCTGAACGATATACGGTAAAGAGGACCTGAACAATCTTCAGAAATAAAGTCACTAGTGCACAGGAAGATTGTTTATACGCATCAATATCAAAAGGAAAATGCTGGTCAGCAAATCCCCAACAGAGTACAACACAGAACAGCTGAACTGATTCTTCTTTTTTAAACATGCACTGAATTTTTTCCCCACAATTACAAACCCTTCCTCACGTTAGGGCTTCTCATTAGCACTGCCCTCAAGCAAATCGTGTGGCAAGAGCTTTCCCTCACAGCTGCCACCTGTCAGTAACTAGCCCTGCGGTACTGCAGCAGCAGTTGCTATAAGGACTGATCCAGTGTCAAGAGGGACTTTATTGCCCCCACCTCACCTCTTCTAATTAGAAATTCCCCTTTGGATGCCTCTAATGTGACAGATCTGGGAAATGCCAGTTCTCTGTGTAAATCTGAGTAGTCATCATGAACAGCACTTAGAGGACCAGCTGTACCTCCTCCTAAACTTACTTTCATTTTGAAATCATAAGGAGAGAAAGTAATAAAACCCCACACTCTCAAATCCATGCACCATTTTACCTTGTTAAGAACATGCCTTTCCTACTACTGACTCTCAATAAATGAAGTTGTAAGCATACTACACTAGCAACTTTTGCTGAACAATGGACTTCCTGACACTTATTTTGCCTTTTTCTCATAGTTAAAGTGAGAAATGGTTTTCACCGCTTTTCATAACTAGCCACACTCCAGCTACAGAAAACCATACACACTCAATTTACCTACCATACATACTTGAATCCAAGACAAGGGTTTTTCCCCATTCAACATAGAAAAAAGCTGCCCCATCACTTTACCTGCTTGCTCTGCCCCCCACAATTTCTGCTCCCCCGTTGCTTACCGGCAGTCGCGGGTCCAGCCCCGTTCCAGCCTGGGGCATGGAGCACATGAAGCTCTGACCCTGGCCCAGCCATGCAGTAGTTCTGACGTCCCAGGGCTGGAGCTGTTGCCACTGCAACTGCTGGTGCATGGCTGGGCTGGGACCAAAGCTAGACTGTGCTCCATGCCCCAGGCCAAAATGGGTTAATATTAATTATTTTTTGAAATATTTCAAAAGCATTTGAATTAAATTTTACCTTGTTGTGTTTCTAACTTCTGCATTTCATTTTTTCGTTGTGTTGAATACCTTTTATTTTAAATATTTTTAAGACTTACCTAATTTTAAATGTTATCCCTTTTTTGCATCCAAATAGTTATCCAAAATTCAGGAATAAATGGACAACCAGGAGCCCTGTGGGTTGTTTTTATTAGGAGAAACTACTGATAGAGTCAATTAACAATGTAACCCCAGGTATTTACAAAGAATGTACAAAGGCCTATTTCCTTGACAGAAGAGAAACCAACACCAGACAACAGTTTGCTTACAACTGGAAACCTCTTTCAGCCAACACGTAACCCAAAAGCTCTCTCAATTTTTTTCTTTAGGCATGCTATTAGGGCTCCTGTGGTTGTGTATTATGCTTTCTGACTTTCTTAGCTCTGATCTTATCTGGCCTTCCTGCCTTGCTTTTACAGACCTGCAAATCTTCCTGAAACAGTGCCCAGGAACACCCCTGCCCCTAAATGTGCCATGCACAGCCCAGCATTTTCACTGGAGGCTTCTGCTTTTTGGTTCCATCAAAAATCTTAATGAATTTTTATCACTATCGTAAATGAAAGGTGGTACTACACCCAACCCACAGCAATATATTATATTTAGTATCCAATACATTTTTATAGTATCTAATATTATATAC